TTCGTACCAAACATAGTACGTCCTTATCTCTTCTTCGTCCCTCTTTTCTTTATAACTTACTCTCTAGTATGCTTCTTAGCTTTGGCTTTATATAACTGATTTTCGTAGCAAGTGCCATAACATTCTTACAGAAACTAAGACAGCAAGTGCCGTAAAACTCCTACTGAAACTAAGATAGCAAATGCTCACTGAAGGCTAAAATAGCGAGTGCCCTGTAAAGAGAGTTCTCGCTCGCAGGAGCCAACACTGGCGACAAGTGTTTCCTTTTCCCGCCTCTCGCCCTCCACCCAGTCCCAGTAATTCGCAGCCATAACCAATTTCCCATCTTCCCCGATGACAGGCTTTCAGCGCGGAGCAGAGTTATTCCCCGTGTCTCCCCTGACCCGGCAGGACAGATGGCCAGATATGTCTTGGATTGCGTCTCGGCACGATGACCAATCTGGCAATCAGGATTCTTGAGGACTAGCTTCAGCGGAGTCGTCTGCTGAATAGAAGGTTTTAGTTTAATTTTAGTAAGAGTTTTACGGCAATTGCAACACAACAAGGTCAGATAAGAGCCGAGAATTAAAGGTGTTACAAGAGAGTAACGCTCACAAAAAGAATGAGGGGAAATGAAGACGATAGATGTTTGAGAGGAAGGAAGAAGCAAACCAGACCAGAGCATCCACTAACCACCCACATAGAAGGTTTTTGCACCGAGGTGGCTCAGTGCAAAGATGAGCAAAACTGGCCGAAGCTCGCTGTCTTCCCTGACATAATGGCAACCATGTTTTATCATTGCCACAGTGGTTGATATCGCCGGGGGGGGGGGGGAGGGGTAAAGACTCCTGATGACTGACAGGATTGTTCTCACTATTATTTCCTTTTTTTCTCTCTAATAAGCCATATATATTGTTTTTATGATGAGAAATTTTAAGCATGAAATAGTAATTGCCTTTGGACTTTGAAGATTCGTTCGACGTGAAAAAGTTATTTACAATGCTGTAATAATCTGGGGGTAAATAAAAATATGTTATAAATAAACATAAGAGTGAAGGCACTATCATCCTTTAACTAATATTGGGAAGTTGAAATGTATCCAAGGCACGTTTGGCTTACACTGGCGTATGCTTTAACACTGCTATGATCGTAGCGTCGGAAGTCTAGTGCTTCGGCTCATGGTCTCTTTTAGGCACAAGGGTGTTGTCGGATAAAATGCTGTTTTGAGAAAATTGATGTAAAAGTTTTTTACCCTGGTTTAGTTTCTTAAAAGACAAGGAGAGTTTTCTCTATAACCAAACAAATTGAATACATATCAATGAAACCAAACTTCTCTTATAGATAGGCCAATGCCTACTTTTGGCGTAGGTCAAGATTTCTGGAACACCCTGAAAAAAGTGTTAGCCCACTTGTCCTTAAAAGCGACCATCTGCGACATTTTGAGGTCGTGGTTTCAGACTCAGCTCGATTGGACGTTGTTTCGGTGGGAGAGGCAGTTTACAAGACAGTACACGACAGGATTGTTCTCATTTAACTCGTTGTTTGTATCGGAGATGAACCTTTAATTCGGAGGCCTAGCCATTTGAATAAACTTACAGTGTTGGAAGGAAAATTAAAAAGACTAGTACTTAGCGTCTTGTTTTGGGGGTTTTCTGGTGGGGTGGAACGCGTTTTACGGCTCTCGGAACTGCTTAAGGTCATATTATAAGCGTGCGGGACACACCAAACATTTTCAGTTGGTAGGAAATTTTAAATTTTGCCAGAGGGACGACCGAAGCCTACTCTTATCGATTTTGAACCACCAAGGGATCTTTAACATTCGCAACTTGCATACGGGACCTCCGAGATTTTTCGCTATTGTCCGAGAAGTGCAAAGTGTCTTGTTGACAGCAAATGAGGGTCAAGAGCTTTTGAAAACTTCTTTGATAATTCAAGCTGAAGAACGTTTCTGAGAGGACTGAAACAAGAGTCAGCTGTATCTAGCTCTGTGCTGCTCGATATGTTCCAAGCCGTGCTCACAGAGAGCCCTCACTCAAAGAGCGTTGAGAGTAGAGAGATTTATTCAGACACAGTTGATATTCTAATTATTATCATGCTACCCCTCCAATCAATTCTTCACGTAGGCTTTTTTTTTAACTCTTTGTGTACTTTGATTTTGTTTCCATAGTGGAACACCCATTATCGGGGAGCCAGCTCATTTCACATATTATTAAATATTGTATTTGTATGGCTCCAGGGTCGTCTGTCTGTAAATTAACTTTGTTTTCCGTCGTCGTGACCACACTATTCCTTGGAGTTATCTGCTTTCTCAATCGTGGATGTAAGAGGAGTGTTGGTCATTCAACCTGCTTGAGCCAAAAGAAAAATAACATCTTAAGTTAATTGTATGATCAATAGATAGCCCTGAATTTGCCCCTTGTCTTACTTTGTTATTTCCTGAAATAAGTCTCATTTTTCCACCCTCTCCTTTTGGCACAAACATCCAAACTGTACATGAAATAAAGGGATTCAGTGGCAGACCCCGTCTCTTTCAGATCTGTTAATACCTAACACACACACACACACACACACACCAGTTACTCACATTCGTGTGCGCAGATTTTGGGATTGAACAAACGGGATCAAACTGTGACATCAGAAGGTCATCAACAACTTGATTCTGAATTATTCATTTCGTAGCATTGTGCTAATGATAAATATTTGCCGTGAAGATAATATTTTACTGTTTTGTAAACATCAAAGACGATGAAGCCAAGCATTGCCTGTGTGTACTGAAGTGTGACCTTAATTTTACCTTAATTTCAAACAATGGCTCTCAGTCTTAATAATAAGCTTTTTTTTTGGCCTTTTATTCATCGCAAAAAGCTACTCACGTCAATGCAAAATAGCCCATTAAGTATGAATAGGGTTTATATATAGTATTTGAAAGACTGTTTTAACTCTGAAAAGCTCCAAATCTTCATCAAATGGCGTCAAATGAAAGGGCAGCCGTTTGCTTCTTTCTGCTATTTCTTACAAAATAAAAAGGAAGTAATACGTGGGATCATTGCAGACACTCAAGACCATGGTCGATTGAGAACTGCCAGTCATCGGAAGATCGAGTAAGCCCAAAAGAAGTGCAAAGAAATGTAAGGCATCGTGGTGAAATGAGGCGCTCGTCAAAATAATGAAATCAAAGAAATTGGCAATTTCTGGCGGATGGGCAATTTTCTTTCTTTTTGGGTTTTTTCTTGTTTTGGCTCAACACCTTTTATATCCATTCAAAAACATATTTCCGTGTGGATTTTACTGAAATACACGGATTAGAGGCTCAAAAATTGTAAATTTCCAGTTCCCAAAGACACTCAAGCTATGGAAATTACCAAACTCTGATGGCTATTTCTCACTAATTTTACCTCTGAAACTAGGCAACCCTGACCTACTCCAATCGCAAATATTTCGATTTTTATTCAACATAGATGGATATTTTTTTAACCAAAAGCAAAAAAATAAGCAGACTTTAAGATGATACCAATAACACTATATGCCCAAAAATTGACGAGCGCCTGATTCCACCTCGTCGGGACACAAATAATATTACTTCAGTGTGGAGAAACGATGTTTGGATACACCTAATCTACTACTCTGTGATTAATGGAAGTTTTGAAAAATAGGGAAGCTATTTGGGTACCGCAAACATTTTTTTTTCTTTTTGCCGATGTTAATGACATTTTTGGTTTGGCGTCTTTTTAGGTTTTAAGTCTGGCTGTCTTTGTCAGAATCGTAACTGTCTTAAGGGCGATAACCAATGGCTGTCAGAGAGACAGAGAGAGAGAGAGAGAGAGAGAGAGACAGAGAGAGAGAGAGAGAGAGAGAGAGAAAGAGCAGACAGAAAGAAAGGGAGAGAGACAGAGAGAGATATACAGAGAGAGAGAGAGAGAGAGAGAAAGAGCAGATAGAGAGAAAGGGAGACAGACAGAGACTGGCAGAGAGAGACAGAGAGAGACAGAGAGAGACAGAGAGAGGGGTAAAGAAATAAAGAAGAAGAGAGAGCGAGCGAGAGAGACAGACAAAGAGAGCGAAACAGACAGAGAGATAGGGAGAGACATAGAGAGACAGACAGACAGACATGCAGACAAACAGACAGACAGACAGACAGACAGATAGAAAAAGATAGGGAGAGACATAGAGAGACAGACAGACAGACATGCAGACAGACAGACAGACAGACAGACAGACAGACAGACAGACAGACAGACAGACAGACAGATAAGCAGACCGACAGACAGAAAACTATACGACCTAGAAACTGCTAAAAGACTATTCAGTTCTGTATAAATCTATTCAATGTAATATCTCTATTAAGTTTAAAAACGATAGACTCAAATGAAAATTACTTGTGCGGTTTTCTTTTAGTTTTCAATTCTAAAATTTGATGAACAGATTCAGAGAACGATGTATGCTGTCGATTTACTAAATAAACACCAAAAAAAATCCATTAACAAATTATTCGAAGCCCCAGATATCCTACGCAGACAGCGTCAACATATCCATAGAAACAGATAGGTGTGGGAATAATAGTATTTATCGTTTTTCAACAGAAAAGAAGACTGGAACTTAATAACATTTTGCAAACTGAAACTTCAATTTAAATTCAAGGTTCTAAATAGTTGAAGTATTAACTTACTCACTCATGTTTTATATTTTTTCATTTTAAACTACTTGTAACCTTCAGAAGTAGTGTCTGGAAAGTGTGGTTCGTCTCTTCGACGCTGAAGCAGTTGACGTGAGTTCGATGCCAGCGTAGAGAGGTTTCTTAATGAGTGTCTCCGTCTATCTGCTAGGACATTGCACCCAAACCCTAACCCTAAACCTACCCCTAACCCTAACCTACTTTAACTCTAACAGTAAATTTAACAACTAACCCTAACCCTAACCCTAAGACTAACCCTCACCCTAACCCTAACTCTTAACCTAACCTTAGCCCTTACCCTATAATACTTTAATAACAATATGAATGTTTTGCACAATGTACTTTTCAGATCCACGCCTGTGACAACCCGATCGACATACACTCCAAGACAAACCAGCACACGCCCAAGACCCGCCAAAAGCCTAGTCCTCACAATGCTCAGCGCACCCTCCATAGCCCACACAGGGGTCGCCCTCCTTGTCCTGATGTGTCTTTGTCCCTTCTCACAGTCTACAGAGGCGTCATTAAGCAGGTAACAGAATACTATGTCGGCTGTCTTTAATTTAGGTCTAGCTGGGTTTTTTACTTAACTGTCTTTTACTTAACTGTCTTAGACTCATCTGTCTTTTTCTTCGAGCATTAAAAAAAAAACTATAATTTTTTTCTTTTCTTTTTTTTTTGTATAGTGTTTTACGGCGCTCGCAACTGCATAAGGTCATATGAACGCGCGGGACACACTTTATATTTTCAGTTGGTAGGAAATTTTGAATTTTTGCCTGGGTGGCGGCCGAAGCCTACTCTAATCGATTTTAGACCACCAAGGGATCTTTAACGTGCGCAACTTCTACACGGGCCCTCCGAGATTTTTCGCCCTTGTCCGAGAAGGCTAGGTGTCGATCTTTCCTACCAGAAGATCAGGGGTGTGGCAGAAAGACAGCAGTAAGGAGGAGCCAATGAGTAGCAATAGAAAGGCTGCAGAAAGAGTCAGGAGCCCAGAGGAGGGGGCAAAGGAGGTGAAGGGTTGGGGGCTGAAAGTGGAAATGAAAGCAGACAACAGAACATTGCTAGAGAGCAGGAAAGAAGGTGAAAGGAGACAATTTTAGAGAAGAAAATTGTTCGGTTGCTATCCGGATTCGAACCCGGGACCTTTTGAATGGGAGGCCAACACCTTAACCTCTAGGCCACGAGAGCCCCAATTATTATTTATTGTTATTTTATTATAATTTTTTAAAAATGATTCTTCAGTTTAGTTGGGTTTTTTAAAAATTCATTTACCTGTTTATATAGATCTATTCATTTATTTATTCATGTGTTCCATTATTATTTTGGGGGGGGGGGGGAGGAGTGGGCTATAATCGTTTTTACCTTTATTAGTGTTCACTTTCAGGGGGAAATGCCCTAGTCTAATACGAGCGTATTATGATGGGATGAAGAAAACGAAGCAGGGGTAGACCAAAAGCAAGCTACTAAGAAATCCTAAGAAGATTATACTGTTTACCCTTTAGAGTAAGAAAAGTGACATTGCAAGTTACAAAACAATAAAACGTCCAAAAGGACATTATATTGTGTGTACATGCGTGTATGAGTGTTTGTTTGTGTGTGTGTGTGTGTGTGTGTGTGTGTGTGTGTTTGTGTGTGTGTGTGTGTGTGTGTTTGTGTGTGTATGTGTGTATGTGTTTATATGAGTCTATGTTTGTGTGCTTGCTTTCGTCCAAGGCCAGCTCTACTCAGACTCGAGTCCGATAAGATATTTTTATCTATTCGGACTCGACTCTGAATATGGGTTTTATCTATTCGGACTCAGCTTCTAAGTGAGTTATGTCAGAGTAAGGAGGTTACATAATATAACTGTAGTCTGGGGGTTTTCCGTAAAACCAGAATTAGAACTAAAAGTACCAACTAGGACTGTGTAATTGTGTCAAAAGTCAGAAGACTGCACTCTCATTACCCAATGGCAGTGTCTAAGTACACAGTAACCGAAAACTCAGGGTCTTTCCACCACTACTACAGCACCATCATTACTTCCACCCCCCATTTGTCTCTCCGCGTATTTAATTTCATTTTGTTGTGAGTTCTAGTTTTTCAGTAATAATATTTTAATCACATCGCACACAACCGACAGCCGAGGCCTCTTCCCAACACATCTTCCCCCAGCAAGCCGAGAGTGCGATATCGCTACAAGCTACAAGCATTCTCATTGGTCGACATAATTAACTTTGTCCCCAGAGTGGTCAACTCAACTTGGTTGTTGTGTTCACACTAATGATGCAGGAGGGCCAATTTAAATAGATCAAGTAACTGAATATTAAAGGTTACGTCTCGATTATTATTATTATAATAGAAAAAAAGGTTTCATAAATACTGGAAATATAATTTAGGAGCACAGGTCGAAAGTCGGAACAGACGCCATGCTGGACTCAATTCAGAGTCCGAATATAATTTTTGTCTATTCGAATAATCATTTCGTTTGTCAAATAGATGGTATCTATCAAATTCTACGACTTGCAAACACAAAATATATCTAGATCTACATCTCTCTTTATTTCATTTTATCTACAACTGTCCATCTTTCTCTGTCTCTCTAGATCTAGCTACCTCTCTCTTTCTCTCTTTCATATTCCCTCTCTCGCCTACCCCATTGCATAACACACACCCACACGCGCACACTCTCACACACACACACACACACACACACACACACACACACACACACACGCACGCGCACACACACACACACACACATACACACATACACACTCTTACACACATGCACATATACACAAACACACACATACACACATGCACATACACAAACGTATACACACATACACACACACTCACACACAAATTACTAATACACAATTTTCAGATAACGTGTAGAAATCGACATGCTCTCATAACCTGGCAACGAATTCCTCTCTTTGGATTCCACCCACAGAGCGAAGCGAGGTTTCCGCCTCAACTCTGCGTCACGGGTTGCCCATGGCTACGGCAAGCGTGGGTACGCTTCCTCTTCCGGTGCCGTCCCTTACCCAGAGTTGGCGAGAGATGTCCTAGACAACTTACGAGCAGAAGAGGAGGAAAAAGAATTGGAGTGGTCAGTATTTTTGTTTTGTTTTAGTAAGTCAGTGTTTTACGGCACTTGCAACACATTAAAGTCATAGTATAAGTGTCTAAGATCAGAGGTGTTACCAGAGAGTAGCGAGCACAAAAAGGAGGGGAGATAATGACGATAGATGTTTGAAAGGAAAAAAGAAGCAAACCACATCAGAGTATCCCCCAACCACCCACAGTATATTTTTCTTTTAAAAAACAACATGCTGCTTATTTATGGGTCATCGTTTCAGTGTAGTGAAAATGGATTTATTAAACGAGAAATGAGAGGGATGTGGTAGTGGGTGAAGGCTGCCATTAGAAAAATCGATATTTTTTCATCCGCAAAGATAGAAGGTTGCCCAAACCTTTATGTATGTTTGTTAAATGTTTCGTTGCTACTTCTGGTCCATTGCCGACAAGCGGAAAATGTTACTTTTAAACGTGTACGTGTATGCGTTTTTGTGCATTTGTGAGTGCATGTAGATATGCCTTTTTGCATTACAATGGAAATATCTCATCTATAACTTAGACTCTTTTACACAAAACCCACAAAAGGTTCTGGTACATTCTGAAAACAGGCTGTTGGGTTGGGGGGAGGGGGAGGGGTTCAAAAGTATTCTTCTCTGCTCTGAGTTTCCAGCTTGGTTTCAATCCTATTTTGGTTCTATTTTTCCTAGTCGGTCACATCTTGCCACCCTCCTCCAAAATCTCTCTCTCTCTCTCTCTCTCTCTCTCTCTCTCTCTCTCTCTCTCTCTCTCTCTCTCTCTCTCTTTCTTTCTTTCTCTCTCCCCCCTCTCTCTCTCTTTCTCTCTCCCTCCCCCCCCCCTCTCTCTCTCTCTCTCTCTCTCTCTCTCTCTCTCTCTCTCTCTCTCTCTCTCTCTGTCTTCTCTCACTGTATCTACCTCTCAGTCTTAGTGTCTGTTTCCCTGTCTCTCTCTCTGTCTCTCTCTTTCCCCCCCCCCTCTCTCTCTCTCTCTCTCTCTCTCTCTCTCTCTCTCTCTCTCTCTCTCTCTCTCTCTCTCCCTCCCTCCCTATCTCCCTCTCCCTCGTCCACTATCTTCATGATTTCCCGTACCTCACCTGAAATGGATACTATAAGAGGAAATCCAAAAATGTTTGATAAATTACCCGGGACAGACATTTTGTTCTACTGTATACATTTCTACCTTGCACCGGATCACCCAGCGAGCTAAATGGCCGCCTAATACCGGGAGATATTGTCCGGTGCAGGGACAAATCGTTAACACAGGAAATAATTGAACCCAGGTTATTTGGCCGCTTTCTGGCGGGTTATGCGCGAGCTGTTATTGGCGTGATCGAGGCGATTTTTGAGGGTAGGTGAGTAGAGTGAGTGGGGGAGGGGCGGGGTGGGAGTGAGAGTGGGTCCGGGCTAACCATAAGAGTTAAGTGGCACAATTTGTCTCACCACGGGCTGTCCGTGAAAAGGCGGGAACATGAAAGAAGCGTCCGGTCCGACAGAGCTCCTTGCTAAATTATTCAAATCACAGCCAGGTTTTCATAGAACAGGGAAACGTGGGGGAACAAAAGCGAGGAAGAAAAGGTTTGTGGAGGTGTGGTAACGGAATTTAGGGCACGCGATGTTGTGTAAAAACTAATAAACCTCCTAGAATTTAAAAAATGAGCAAAATCACAAAATGTAAAACGATCATTGGGGCTTGAATAAAAATACAAATCAACTGATACTTTAAATAGTACTCTATTATACTGTGTAATGTTGATTTAGTCTGTTACCCACTCGATCTCTGTTTCTTACATGTGTTGACGTGTAACAATATTTAAATCTCAAATTTTCATCTGAGGAAGCTACTGGGAGTAAAGTTATATGATAATAATAATAATTATTATTATTATTGTTATTATTATTATTATTATTATTATTATTATCATTATTATTATTATTATTATTATTATTAAGGGGGCTATCCCGAAAAATGCTGTTTTGAGAAAATGACGGTAAAGGTTTTGCCCCTTTTTCAGCTTCTTCAAAAGACAAGTAGAGTTTTCTCTATAACCAAACAAATATACACACCAATAAAACCAAACTTCTTCTTTAGGCAGGGCAATGCCCACTTTTGGTGTAGATCAAGATTTCTGGAAACCCCCGAAATCTATGTTAACCCGCTTGTCCTTAAAAGCGACCAATGAATTCGTTTATAAAAGGACAAAACATGACATGATTAGAAAATAAAAACTAACTAAATGATATTTTACAGTGAATCATATTACATTCCCCTAAAAAGCATAATCAAAGTAAGATGCCAAGACTTCAGAACGGGTTACAGAGATTAAACCAAAGCTCCACGTGTGTTGGAATAGACTGCCCATGATGACATTTATGACAAATATTTCGTAAGTACGAATGGGGACAAGAACCAGTAAATTATGTTCCTGGCCTTCCCGGGGTTGTTTTTTGGGGGGGGTCTATTTTATACCCCCCCCCCGAAAAAATAGGCTTGGAAAAATGACAGCAAGTCTTGCTACGGTTTCTCTAAAATTGGGGTGATTGTATTGATCAGCATGATGCACGCAATGCCCGCCCAGCTATGCTGAAAAGGTTCAGACTTCAGTGAAAATGGCCTGATGTGTGGTATATTCAGGAATTAGGGTACCTCCTTCTTGATTTTATTTTTTTAAACAAAACAAAATATAATATTCTAAAAGTGCACGTCGGTGCCTCTGTACGAGGTAGGAAAAGTAGGACGACTTACACAGAACAGGAGGCTCTGTATTCCATCAAAGGTCAAAGTGGCGAGGTCTTAGAAAGAAAAATATCTGAATTGTCATCTCCTTTTGTTGATAACCCTCCTCAATCAGGTGTTTGTATTGAGACTGTGATTAGTTTTGCCTTTTATATGATGTGAGATTGCTAGTATTATCACCTTGAACAGCCCACCCACCCCCCTCTCCCAGGGCAGTGCTACTGACTGAATTTGTCTTTAGGCCATTCCCATAAGGGTGATTTTAACACGTTCTTATGCACAGTAGAATTGTAAATGGGCTGATTTATCAATGTCATGCTCATACTGTGCCGGAACAACATAGGGGGAATGGCTGCTTTTTCTCTCCTCATAATTACGATCGTCACTTTCCTCTACTTCTATTTGTCACTCTCTTTTGAACTGCTATTTCGTGGGTGCCTTGATAGTCGAAGCAGACTTTGTGCTATTTAGGCTAGAGAGGCGAGTAGAGTTAGCTTGATTCCCCTTTTGGAATTCTCTGTTGACCTCTTGACCTTATGCAGTTGCGAGCGCCGTAAAACCTTACTAAAACTAAAACTAAAACAGGGGCGTATTTCTATTCAAGTATTTTGTCTAATGAAACACTTGCACTAATTCCAGTACGTTCCTCGTCCCTCTTTAACAACTTCAGTCGTTTTGGGAGATAATAATACAGAGTGTGCTGTTCATTTATCACGTGTAAAATACACGAGAAACACCATAGTCAAAGGCTGAAAATCGTGAGGATACAAATTTTAAACGCTTGTTGACTCATGACTGTATTTCTCTTCAATTGTTGTTTGATTATTGTTGTTAAATTTCCCATTCAACAATCCTTAACAATAAACCCCTGGTCAAACAAAAATGAAGTTCTGAGTCCACAAGCTTTTAAAATTTACACCTCCAGGAATTCCAGTTTGTGACTATATCGTTTTTCCCCTGTGCTCTTCACATGTGTACTGATTACTAATAACTATTAATTGCTGACCTGACCTGACCATCAATGATTTATTAATAGAGGCACCATCCATCCATGTCCAGGTGCTGTTTTAGCCTCTTTTTCCTGTATGCGGATTAATAATATCACTTTGCCATTTTATTGGTTCCGCTTCCATGTACCCCACATCTATGGTTCCCAAACTGGAAATCGCCCACAATTCGCTGTAATTGCCCCCCCCCCTCC